TTGAACCTCAGCTTTGGGCTCTCTATATTTCTAGGTTGTCATAGTCAGGAATATCTTTAATGCTATGGAAAATTAATCAGTAGTATATAGGTATGAAGAAACCCTCCCCCCAAAGCAAATCCTGCGAATCTTGATAAACCCAAAATATTCCTGGATATGCTGGATCATGTTTCTCTACCCAAAAATAAATATTTTGCTAGATTTAGCAACAGCGGGTAGTAAAAATGTGCTTTAAAAATGACTCTGGAGGATGATTTGGATCAAAAGAATTTTAAGTTAATAGTGCTTACATCTGCAGGGAGACTATGTGAAGATACTGCAGGATATAACAGCACATTAAGTGTGGAGTAAAGATTTAGGAACCTGTTTATAAAAATATAATTTGAGAGGGGAAAGCCTTAAATGATAGAACACAGTGAGCTGATTGGCACAGAATGCTAAGTCAACCTATGTCTTGGTGTGAACATGCAAACATACAGACTCCCTGATGGGAGACTGCAGCGGTTTTGCTCTTTCTCCTGTCCTGTTGCTGCTTCGCTGCCATGAGCAAAGTCATGATTTGTCTTAACACACTATCCAAACCAGGCTCGTGGTTTGTCTCACTCCAAACAACCCCATGAGCTATAACCAAGGTTTGCACACAGTGTGTGTGTTTGTGTTTTATTATATTGTAAATTGCTTCAGAATACTTCATGGGAAGCAATTTATAAAGGAAATAACAATAATAGTAGCATTAAGTATGGTGCAAAATAATTTTGCTTGACAGTTTTCTATGATCTACTGTAACAGCAACGTCTAGCAAAGACATGCTAAATTCTATTGTTATAAAATTAACTGATGAACTAAAATGTGTACAGTACCAAACATGTAAGAATTGCAATATCTGGGATTTTTTGTAGCTATTAGTGCTAGCCTGCACATCTATTCAGAAGTAAGTCCTATTGAATTCAATGTGTGAGAAGGACTGCAACCCTACGTTTTAATATACAGTCACCAAACTCCTAAAAAAATATAAATGATAACCTTTCGCAACTACTTTGTGAGAGGGACTGTGGCATTCAGTGTCTCACAAAAAACCAGAGAAATATAAACAAGTTTACAATTAGAAGGCCAAGCCAGTGCTCACCACTTAAAGCAGCTTTTGTTCAGTTAAGAAAATGAGTTTTATGAAGGTAATCAAAACATTGGATTCAATAATACAAGTGATCTCGAATCCTTTAATGCTCTCCTGTCCACTTTTGAAGTGATCCCCTGACTGCAAGAGCTCAGGGCTCTCTGTTTTACAATGTGACTCATTATTCATATGATCCTTAAGTTTACCAAAATAGTTTTGAAACAGTTTTGAAAGCAACTCCCTGAGCGACAGCCAAACCAACTAGTATGAAAAGAACTCCCACAGGCATCCCATGGCTGCGTTTCAGTCAATTATATATGCAGCGCTGTAAAGCTCAACTCTATTGCTGAGTTGCCAGAAATCAAATAGTTCCATTGGCAGATCTCTAAATCAAAGGCAGGAACAAACATTAATGAATTATTCTCCTACACATCAAATAATTGCCAAAATATCGAAAGTCTCAACTTTAAAGCTAAAGGATGTAATATACCTTGCTTATTTCAGTTAGCATTGACAGTATCCTTTCCTGGAGGGCAAGTTATTTCATGCTCTATTCTTATTTCATGAGCAATTCCCATATATTTGCAAATATCCCTTTGGAATATGCTATCTGCTTCTGAGTCCACATCTCAGTGAGACATGATCAGCCAGCAGGAAACCAGCTGAAGTGAGCAGAGAGCATAAGGAAGGTCTAGACTGCAGCCTTAACCCCTTTTATCACCAAGCAGGTCCTAATGATTCCCAAGTGGATTCACAGGGACTATATAAGGACATTGCTTTGGCCTGAAGATCTGTACTACCATGAAAATGAATGGCCTCAAATTATGGTTAGTGTGTGTGGGTTCAGACTCCTTGCCGGAAAAGTGTAAAATTTATACAAAATTTGGATTCTGGTAACTGTTCTTTTTCCATATATTTTCTCTCTCTTGAAATTCCTTTTAGACTTTAGGCCAGGGGTAGGCAACCTAAGGCCCATGGGCTGGATGTGGCCCAATCGCCTTCTCAATCCAGCCCACGGACAGTCCAGGAATCAGCGTGTTTTTACATGAGTAGAATGTGTCCTTTTATTTAAAACGCATCTCTGGGTTATTTCTGGGGCATAGGAATTCCTTCATCCCCCCCCCAAAAGAAATATAATCTGGCCCACCACATGGTCTGAGGGACAGTGGACCAACCCACGGTTGAAAAAGGTTGCTGACCCCTGCTCTAGGCCTTGTGAACTCCAGAGCTGCAAGATATCCTAGGCCCCCATAGCGCAGAGCAGATTTAGCCTCTCATTCTTCTCTGTAAAAAGGTTAAGTTTTGTACAATGCTTGCTGATCACTATTACCAGCAAAGATTGTTACCAGTAAAGGCAGAAAAATAATCTGAGAACGCATAAGGCCAACACTGCTAGAAAGTTAAGACGTAGAACCACCAATAGCCACAGAAAGAGTAATTACATTAGATTTCTAAAAGAAATTTAAGACATGGCACTGCTTCAATTTTATTTTAATTTTATCATATCTATCCTGCTTTTCAGCTCATTATCAGCCCTCAGCGTAAGAGAGACAGGAGCTCCCATTGCAGATCTCCAGTGAGTCATCCAGTTTGGGCTGGAATTCTTCATTTCGAAAATCCTTGATGAGCTGCACTCCACCTGCCAAAACGCCATGGGATTCAAGGGTTTCTCCTTGCCCATAGAATTAATCTTCTGTCTTTATCAGGAATGGAACCCACGCGTCGAAACTAGAAATGTTAAAGTAACATATCTGAGTCTGAATAAATCACATGCTTCTATGAACACCACAGGCCCACTTTAGCAATATATTAATTGAATCCTGACACTACTGGTGGGAAAGGATTCATTTTCTAAAGCCGTGAATCATTAAGTCACTTCATTTACTGTCTCCAAATACCTCACTTAGCACACACTGGCTTTTTTCTCAAAAGTTGGTTTGAATTAGGCCATTACCATGTTATTCACAATGATGTGGGTCTCTGTTAGTTACCACAGCCTCAAAAAGAATGCAGAGTTTTTGGTTTTTGATTTATTGAGGACAAAGCAGTGGTTACAATAATTTCTGTGTGGCAAATAAAAGTAAAGTTTATTAGGCTCATGAAAAATAGATTCCACAATGTTTAAACAGCATAGAAAACCCTATTACGTTTGCTGAAACGTTTTCCAAAGCCGTATACACTTAATCTCAAGGAAAATCACTGTTCCCTAACATATTTTTGCATCTATCTATATTGATTCTTAAATTTCTTAGCCAATTCAGTTGCAAAGAGAAAATTCCCTTAGTATGTTACACCTCTGTTGTTTTACATCTTTCGCTAGCACTGAAGTGCTACTTAAATAGCTCTTAAATTTCACCACGGAATACAGAACAAGCCTTGTTCTCATGTGCTGTCTTTCACACCTAGCTTTTGCCCACATATGGTGGTTTGTTAAACCACAGTTTTCTAAGCAAGCAGAATATATTAAGAAACGTAAATTGTTCACTCTCAAAGGAACCAGTAATTTAAAATGTCTTACGTGAATAGTTACTTTTATTCAGTAATAAAATTAGAATATTCTGCACACAACCAGCTACAAACTTATTTTTTCTTTCCTACAGTGTTCTAAAATCAATTTCCAGCGACGGAAACAGGTTCCTGCATTAAGTCCTGATATTAAGTTCCTGCGCTAAGTCTATCACAGGTGTAGTCCAGAATAGAAGACTGTGTATGCATGCGTATGTGCAACATTCATGAAGCAGCTAGACTATGATAGAAGTAAAAGTTATTATTATTACGGTATTATCTGGCAGATATCTTGCTCTGTGAGGATTGGTTAAAACAAAGTTTCCTGGTTTGGGTATCATGGAGAACTACAGTTAATAAACCACTATCGGGGTGGCCAACTCCCAAGAGACTGCAATCTACTCACAGAGTTAAAAACTAGGAGTGATCTACCCCTTTTTTGGGGTTCAGGTCAAAAACAGAGTTAAAAACTGGCGGTGATCTACCAGTGATCTACCACAGATATCCAGTGATCTACCAGTAGATCACGATCTCCTTGTAGGACGTGCCTGCCCATATCAATGCTGAATCTAGGCATGCCAAAAAGGAAGCATGCTGGAACAAGGCTTGTTTCGCTTCCAATAAACCAGAGGTGGGGGGGCGCGCTCTGGCCCACAGGCTAAACCAGGTCTGCCAGGGATTCAAATTCCACAGTCACCTAACCGGCATTATTTATTTATTACCTGACTTAAGGTTCCAGGGCAGGTCACAACAATTTAAAATTCAAGATTAAAAGCAATTAAAAACAAATTGCAATCACAATAACTGGGTGGGTCATTTAAAAAAATATACATTTCAAGTGTCATGGGCCAGGGTAAAGAGGTGCATCTTCAGCATACAGTGAAAAATGTATAGTGGATATATATATATGTGATGTCAGTATGGGGCGGGTAGATACATGGTTGTCGATAAAAACTGGGAGCCTTAAAGTGCTCTCCTGGTTGTGTATTTGCAGGGGGAGAGCACCCACTGGCTTCCCAAAGGAACTCCCTCGGATACATAATGTCTGCCCAAAGCGCCCTGCATGAGGGAGTTCTGCACAAGGAACCCCCTTCTGCATCTAATCACTTAACTGCAAATAGTGGGGACTTCAAAGCAACCAATCACCTGACATCATTGTGATAGCAGATGATTAATGGGCATTTGGCAGACAAGGATCATGAATTAGCCATACCATTCTAAGACTAGGAAATAAAACTTTCCTGTTGTTTTACTATTTTTTGAACTTTCCCCTCACCCTTTCAATGCATGCTTATGGAGAGAGTGGAATTCATTTTTGTGTTTATTCCACGTTCCATGACCTTTCTACTTTAAATGTTATGACTGACTGGGACAGACTGGAGCTGGAATAACTCAGTCAGTAGAGCATGGGACTCTTAATCTCAGGCTTGTGGGTTTGAGCCCTGCGTTGAGCAAAAGATTCCTACATTGCAGGGGATTACACCAGGTGACTGTCATGGTCCCTTCTAACTCTACAATTCTATGATCTACTGTGCTCCATCAAGTACCTACCAAAGTGTTGCCAGTAAACAAATTACCGTATTGGCCTGAATATAAGCCTCACTCCCCCCCCAAAAAAAATCTGACCGTGAAGAGTTAACGTGTGGCTTAAATTTACGACCTTACAAAAATTGGCTTTTACATTATCACTGCTGAAACAGACATATGGTAAAACGGGTGTGAGTGCCTGCAGAATTTTAAGGGAGCAGCTTATATTCGGGTATTGTCTCCCCCCCCCCCCTTGAATTTTAAAGGTGTGGACAGTAATACTAAAAGGAAAGGGAGTTCATGATGGCTGGGAGTTTGTTAAGAGGGAGATACTAAAAGCACAACGTCAGGCAATACCAATGAGACAGAAACATGGAAGGTGCCTAAAGAAGCCAGGGTGGCTATCTAAAGAACTTTTAACTGAGTTAAGATTAAAAAGGATGTGTACAAAAATGGAAAGGGGGGAAACCACCAAAGAGGAATTCAAACAAATAGCCAGCACGTGTAGACACAAAGTCAGAAAAGCTAAAGCACAGAATGAATTCAGGCTTGCTAGAGAGGTTAAAAGCAACAAAAAAGGCTTTTATGGGTATGTCCGTAGCAAAAGGAAGAACAAAGAAACAGTGGGTCACTCAGAGGAGAAGATGGTGAAATGCAAACAGGGGACACAGAAAGAGCTGAACTCCTCAATGCCTTCTTTGCCTCAGTCTTCTCCGATAAAGAAAACAATGCCCGACCTGAAGAATTTGGAGCAAATGATTCAGCAAAGGAAACACAGCCCAGAATAACTAAGGAGATAGTACAAGAATACTTGGCTAGTTTAGATGTATTCAAGTCTCCAGGGCCAGATGAACTGCATCCAAGAGTATTAAAAGAACTGGCAGATGTGATCTCAGAACCACTGGCAGTCATCTTTGAGAATTCCTGGAGAACAGGCGAAGTCTCGGCAGACTGGAGGAGGGCAAATGTTGTCCCTATTTTCAAAAAGGGAAAAGAGAGGACCCAAATAATTACCGCCCGGTCAGTCTGACATCAATACCAGGGAAGATTCTGGAGCAGATCATTAGCAAACAGTCTGTGAGCACCTAGAAAGGAATGCTGTGATCACCAATAGTCAGCATGGATTTCTGAAAAATAAGTCATGTCAGACTAACCTGATCTCGTTTTTTGACAGAATTACAAGCCTGGTAGATGAAGGGAACGCAGTGGATGTAGCCTACCTTGATTTCAGCAAGGCATTTGACAAGGTGCCTCATGATATTCTTTGTAAAGAAGCTGGTAAAATGTGGTCTTGACTATGCTACCACTCAGTGGATTTGTAACTGGCTGACTGACCGCACCCAACGGGTGCTCATCAATGGTTCCTCTTCATCCTGGAGAAGAGTGACTAGTGGGTGCCACAAGGTTCTGTCTTGGGCCCGGTCTTATTCAACATCTTTATCAACGACTTGGATGATGGACTCAAGGGCATCCTGATCAAATTTGCAGATGACACTAAATTGGGAGGGGTGGCTAACACCCCAGAGGACAAGATCACACTTCAAAACGACCTTGACAGATTAGAGAACTGGGCCAAAACAAACAAGATGAATTTTAACAGGGAGAAATGTAAAGTATTGCACTTGGGCAAAAAATGAGAGGCACAAATACAAGATAGGGGACACCTGGCTTGAGAGCAGTACATGTGAAAAGGATCTAGGAGTCTTGGTTGACCACAAACTTGACATGAGCCAACAGTGTGACGCGGCAGCTAAAAGCCAATGCAATTCTGGGCTGCATCAATAGGAGTATAGCATCTAGATCAAGGGAAGTAATAGTGCCACTGTATTCTGCTCTGGTCAGACTCACCTGGAGTACTGTGTCCAGTTCTGGGCACCACAGTACAAGAAGGACACTGACAAACTGGAACGTGTCCAGAGGAGGGCAACCAAAATGGTCAAAGGCCTGGAAACGATGCCTTATGAGGAACGGCTAGGGAGCTGGGCATGTTTAGCCTGGAGAAGAGGAGGTTAAGGGGTGATATGATAGCCATGTTCAAATATATAAAAGGATGTCACATAGAGGAGGGAGAAAGGTTGTTTTCTGCTGCTCCAGAGAAGCGGACACGGAGCAATGGATCCAAACTACAAGAAAGAAGATTCCACCTAAACATTAGGAAGAACTTCCTGACAGTAAGAGCTGTTTGACAGTGGAATTTGCTGCCAAGGAGTGTGGTGGAGTCTCCTTCTTTGGAGGTCTTAAGCAGAGGCTTGACAACCATATGTCAGGAGTGCTCTGATGGTGTTTCCTGCTTGGCAGGGGGTTGGACTCGATGGCCCTTGTGGTCTCTTCCAACTCTATGATTCTATGATTCTATGATTCTATATTCAGGCCAACACAGTATTAATTATTAGCCAGGCTACCATCTCCTAACAAGGAAAAATACAATGACAGTGGACTACAACTGATGCCCTTCTATTCACTGAAAGGCTCTGATCCATGAACAGAAGATGGGTGCCAATTTTTGCTTGTTTCCCTTGGTTCTGAAGCCCCACACCACCCTCCCCACTGTTCTATCCAGAGCTTATTTTCAAGGGAAACTTGGTGGCAGGGTGCATCAGCAAAAATGACCTGCACTCCACTTCTGTTAGCGAAAGCATCCACTGAATCAAAACCTCTGCCATGAGTTAAAGAGCACCAGTTGCATGCCCTGAAATAGATCTAATAGGAAATTAAACCAAATACAATATAAGCACTTCCTTCCAACAATGGTTAAGAGAACACCACCCTACTGTCTTAAGAGACTATAATTGAAAGAAGGAATCATATTGGCCTGGTATAGAAATGAGTCATTACCCACTTTATTCTCAAGTATAAGGAAATTATATTTAGACCTGTAACAAGACCTGTAGAAGGCACTTAAAGAATTAAACTAAGGCACATTACACTTTTTCCCCACTACAAAAATCTGTGGTTATACCTAATGCACAACTACCACTTCTGCTATAGAAACATGTTAAAAACACACTCCCAGAAATTTAACTCTTCCATAATCTATCATCAAATAAGGAAAACCCACTTCCTCTCAGAGGTAAAATTTTAAATGCATTACCTCACCTTTTCAATGTTAAACTGCACCAATCTAAGGCATTTGCAAAATATAATGGGACACTAAGGGCCAGAATTTGATCTGTTCTGAACTAATGTAAATCTGGAATAATTCCAGTATAAATCACTGAAGATATACACAAGAATAATAGGCATTAATCTTGGAATGAAATTCTTGTAAGCATGCCAAGAGAGTAAATTAAGCCCCTTCAAAATCTGCCAGTAAATAGACACTCACTTCTTTCCTTGGAGTGATCTTAAGATATACTATCATTCAAAAACACATACAAATAAAGCAATTTCCAAAGTTACATGATTAATGGGGTCCTCAAAATCAAGCATGAAATTAGGATTCAGTCAAGAAGGGTGCCTAGTTCTACCATCCTCTGCAAACTTCAGCTCTGCAAGTTCTATACCCAGCCAAAAAAGGGAAGAAAATCAGTAAGGACAAATGGCAATGTCTCTAAAGAGATTGCAAGGCTGAAGGGGCAGCAGTGTGTACTTTATTGCCTCTTCAAAGTAGGAAACAGATGAAAAATGTGGCTCCTGCTGTTGCCAACCTACTTTGTGAAGGACTAAAGTGCTGTTATTTTGCCTTTTCCAATTCTTATTTTATCCCACCTACTTTTTGATGATTGGCATGCCAAAAAAATGTTCAGCCTGGAAATATATTATGTAGATTACATTCAATCAAAGCAGAATGTCAGCTTTCCTTTTCAGAACATTTTACAATTTGCCAATAAGCACTCATATTTACCAAAACACTTAAATTTTTGGTTAAGATGCAAATGTTTAGTTGCAGCTTTTGTTCCAACTACCAAATATGAAACCTCTGGCATAGTTCTCCTTTCTCCTTTGTGTAAGTCAGGCATCCCCAAACTTGGCCCTCCAGCTGTTTTGGGACTACAGTTCCCATCAGCCCTGACCACTGGTCCTGTTAGCTAGGGGATGATGGGAGTTGTAGTCCAAAAACAGATGGAAGGCCAAGTTTGGGGATGCCTGGTGTAAGTTAAGCAAGCACAAGGATTTAGTAGCACGGGAAGCTGCTTTATACCAAGTCAGAGCAAAGACTGGCAGTGGCTCTCCAGGGTTTCAAGCAGGGGATTTCCTAGCCCTACGTGGAGATACCAGGAATTGAACCACAGACCTTCGGCATGCAAAGCAGATGCACTAACTCTTTTGACTGCTATCAATTGATTTGTTTACTTTAAAGACAATCTATTATATTGTAACACATAGGGAGAAATACATTGATACCAACTTTCAGCATCTGGTGTCATATATTTTTCCAGCACAATGTATTAGTAGTTAGGCCGCATAACTTAGCATACGAGGGCAACAAAAGTGGGTAGATCTGGCCCTCCGCTTCCAACTATCCACCCAAAGTGGGTCAAAGTTAAAAGCTGGATAGCAGACAATGCCCTTGGATTTCCTTCACTGCTGTCTCCATGCTCCCTGCATCTGGCACTAATTAAACTTGGAAGAAACAGGCTCTAGAGCACCATGAACATTAACCGGCTAAAGCATAGCTGTCAACTTTTCCCTTTTCTTGCGAGGAATCCTATTCGGAATAAGGGAATTTCCCTTTAAAAAAGGAAAAAGTTGATAGCTATGGGCTGAAGTAATATGTGGCAAACACAGAACTGTGTCATAGGCAAGCCCAGCCCTGTCTCCTTGCTGCTGCCCTTCCTACTTGAAGATGCCACCACTTGTTTCCAATTCCTCTTGTCCACAGTGATAACATATCTGCCTCCCTCTCCCTCCTGTTTGTGAGTAGGTCCCGCTAGCTCATTTGTGGATAGTGGACTTTGATAAGGTGGAAGGGCAGGAAAACGGCAGA